GCCCGCCAGGCTCCTCTGTCTATGGGATTCTCCAGGCAAGAATACTGGAGTGGGTAGCCATTCCCTTCTCCAGGGGATCTTCCCGACCCAGGGATTGAACCCCAAAATGCAGGCATATGATGGCAAAAACAAGTAAAAATGTTATCATGTGGACCACAAATGAGACAGCATCTTTCAGTGACCCAGTTCCAGGGACTGACAGAGTTAGAATGCTCCAGAGGGCAGCGAGGGTTAGTGCTTGTCCATGGACGGTTCATCAGAGCTGAGGACATGGGGTCTTCAGGGCAAGTCCCAGGGAGAACGGGCCCCGGGTATGTTAGAACCTCAGGAAATAAAGCCAGCAAGGTCCTGGGGACTGTTTCCTTAGCGAATCTGTATTTTGTGGACCATCAGTGTGCTGAGATTTCTTTAGGTAGCCATGCCTGCTGAGTGATTCCCCCAGTTTTCTGTATCTATAAAATGTAAAGCTTCAGTATCCGCTAAACAAATGTTACGTCCTTTTCTGACCTTTAACTAATCACAGGAATTATTAAGAGTGATGCATTGTATCTTTTTATAATTTTTTAAAAGAGAAATTAGTAGAGTCTAGATTATCTTTGTGATAAAATAAGGATCATTTGAGTCGCTCAGTCATGTCCGACTCTTTGCAACCCCATGGACTGCAGCACGCCAGTCTTCCCTGTCCATCACCATTTCCCAGAGCTTTCTCAAACTCATGTCCATCAAATCGGTGATGCCATACAACCATCTCATCCTATGTCATCCCGTTCTCCTCCTGCCTTCAATCTTTTCCAGCATCAGGGTCTTTTCCCATGAGTCAGCTCTTTGCCTGAGGTGGCCAGAGTATTGGAGTTTCAGCTTCATCATCAGTCCTTTCAATGAATATTCAGTACTGATTTCCTTTGGGATGGACTGGTTGGATCTCCTTGCAGTCCAAGGGACTCTCAAGAGTCTTCTCCAACACCACAGTTCAAAAGCATCAATTCTTCAGCACTCAGCTTTCTTTATGGTCCAACTCTCACATCCATACCTGACTACTGGAAAAACCATAGCCTTGACTAGACAGACCTTTGTTGGCAAAGTAATGTCTCTGCTTTTTAATATGCTGTCTAGGCTTGTCATAGCTTTTCTTCCAAGGAGCAAGCATCTTTTAATTTCATGGCTGCAGTCACTATCTGCAGTAATTTTGGAGCCTAAGAAAATAAAGTCTGTCACTGTTTCCATTGTTTCCCCATCTATTTGCCATGAAGTGATGGGACCAGATGCCATGATCTTAGTTTTTTGAATGTTGAGTTTTAAGCCAGTTTTTTTTTTTTCACTCTCCTCTCTATTTAACACTAGTGTGTTATTATGCCAGACTTGAGGCTAGTGTTAAATAAGGGTGTTATTTAACTAGTGTTAAAATAAGGATGGTCAGGATGAAATTCATAGTTAGACTTTGGAGGGTATTTTATTGGGAGGCTACTAATTCTTTTCTAAAATTTAATTGATTTCTATTTTGTCTGCACTGGGTCTCTGTTGCTGTGCGCGGGCTCTCTCTGGTTGCTGTGAGCGGGATGTACTCTTCGTTGTGGGGCCAGGGCCTTTTATCGCGGTGGCTTCTCTTGTTGCAGAGCTCAGGCTTTCACGCATTCGCTCTTCAGGAGCAGCACGTGGGCTTGGTAGCGTGGATCCTGGGCTCTGGAGCACAGGCCCTCGAATCACGTGGAATCTTCCTGGACCAGGGATCAAACCCATGTCTCTTGCACTGGTAGGCAGATTGTTTGCCTACTGAGCCACCAGGGAAGCCCTGGAGGGTATTTTTGTTTCAAAATAACTTTTTTTAAGGTTGAAGCAAATCACTACCTGTAAGTCAAATAATGAAAACAGAATTCATTCAACACTCAAATCATGGGCACCCACTACATGCCAGTGTTCTAGAAGCTGGGCACACAACACAGGACCTGTGTAGGCACGTCGGAACTCAGCTGCCCCACCCCGAGAAGCTTGAAGAGAATGAGTAAGTGTCTCGGGGTTGGGCCAGCTGCGGCCTGCCGTTTCATTGTGGTTCCTGACTTCCCATTCGGAAGGTAGTTAGCAAAGCAGCGTACAGTTGATCCCAGCATCCAGGAAAAGACAGACGTCGGAGACAGAGAAAGGGGCAGTGGCTGTGGGGGACTGGGGAGGAAAGGATAAATGACAGAACTCAGAGGATGCTGAGGGCAGTGAGAATACTCTGTGACCCCATAATGGTGGGTCCATGGTCTTATACCAAAAAGATGGACCCCACCAAGAATGAATCCAGCTAGACACTGGACTTTGGGTGTTGATGAGGTTGATTGATGTAGGTTCATTAATTGTAACAAATGCACCACTCTGGTGGGGGTGTTGATAGTGGGGGAGACCCTCTGCCTGTGTGGGGATGGGAATTCTCTCTATTTTCTGCTCAGTTCTGCTGTGAACCTAAAACTGCTTTAAAAATGTATGTGTGTGTTGGGGGTGAGAATGGGGGTACTCAGTTGTGTCTGACTCTCTGTGACCCCATGGACTGTAGCCCACCAGGCTCCTCTGTCCGTGGGATTCTCCAGGCAAGAATACTGGAGTGGGTTGCCATTTCCTTCTCCAGGGGATCTTCTCGACTCAGGGATCGAAACTGTGTCTCCTGCATTGGCAGGCTGGTTCTTTACTGCTGAGCCACCGGGAAGCCCACTCTAAAAAAATTGTCTATTAAAAAAAAAACAACACTTCAACAATGTGGAGTTCAAACCAATGTTTAATGATGGGTTGGAATTGTCTGTGTTTATTATTTATGTTCATACATATGTGTATGACATATGAAGTTCTCAATCAAAAGAGTTAATCAGCAAAAGAAGAAACAGATCAGAAAAGATGAGCTAGTCGGGTTTAGATGGCAGCCACCCTACTGTATGGAATAACGCAGATCTGAATTTGGCTAACGACCTGACCGTAAGGACAGAGAAAGGCGTTTGTCTGGATACCAAGGGCTGAGCACCCTGGGTGTGGTTGAAGCCCCATGCAGCACTGAAAGCTGGGCACGGTCTCTGCATTGCAATGGAGGGAACTCCAGTGGCCCCCTGGCCCACCTTGGACTCATTGGATTCCCAAGGCACAGCAGGTGGGGTCCTTGGGTCTAGCAGCATCGGTATCCGGAGGCTTGTTGGAAGTGCAGGGACTCAGGCTCTGCCCCAGCCCTGCAGGGTCAGAATCTACGTGAAGTGTGAGATGCTCTGCTGGGGCCTCACCGGGAGCAAAGCCGAGCCTGGTGGCTGGACCAGCACAGCTCACGGTGCTCCCTGACCTTCCAGAGAGCACCAGTCTCCATGGGAGCCCGATGACCAGGGGGCACCAACCACTGGACATCCCTGTGGACAGCTGCTCTTTGGCTGTGGGGGACCCTGGCTATCAACACGGCCCTGTTTACTAGAAACCACAGAATCCTCCTTGAAGTGGCTGCTCTGAGACTCACCCCAGGAGACTGGCTCTGTGGGCACAGAACCCGAGAGCTGAAACGATCTTATCGTAAAGAAGACACTGAGATTGCTGCATGAAAGGAGCTTTGGGATCTTATCTTCAGAAGGCTTGTCTGCGTAAACAGCTACAACTGGAGACTTCTGCTCCTTTAGGTGAAGTTTCATGTGACCCTACTTCTGCCGCTCAGAGCTCTGTGGGGCCTTGTGGTTTTCTATCACTATCCTTCAAGGGGCGGTCCAGGTGGTGCTAGTGGTAAAGAACCTGCCTGCAATGCAGGAGACCTGGGTTTGATCCCTGGGTCAGGAAGATCCTCTGGAGAAGGGAATGGCAACCCATTCCAGTATTCTTGCCTGGAGAATCCCATGGACAGAAGAGCCTGGTGGACTACAAGGTCACAAAGAGTCGGACACATCTGAAGTGGCTTAATAGGCATGCACATCCTCTCAACCTTCTGGAAGACAAGAAGCCCTTCCTAACCCGTACATGTGGCTAGAATCCCTCCCTGCAAGCCTCTACTAGGAACAATACCTCTTATGAGTGCTTGCAAAAGCTCTCACAGCCAGAAGGGATGGAAGTGGATGGAAAGGCAGGTCTGGGTGCAGAGCTTTGGACCATCTGCTGCAATTATTCTGAGCGTGAGTGAGGGTGCTGTGGGGGAGGGGCCAGAGCACACTTGCCCCCCTAAGTGCCTCCCACGTGTGGTGCTGCTTCCCGGGGAGGGAAGGGTGGGAGAAGGCTTTGAGGTTCTGGGCACCTTGTGCCTTTGTGACCTGAACCTGTCCCCTCGCCTCCATCAGCAGCCCCACCTGCCTAACCTACTCTCAGCCATAGATGCTAATGCTAACAGGAACAAGTGTGGGGATGCAGAGGGTGAGGCAGCTGGTGGAAATCCTCGCCAGAGGATCTTACATTGAACTTGGCCATTGAACTATTCCTGCCATGAGGAAGACCCAGGTGATGGCGGAATGGCACCCCTGGTTTGGGGCATCCTTTCCCATTCTCCCTGGCACTGTTCTCCTGAGGGTGAACAAGCCCCAGGCCTGGGACACTGGGCTCCACGGAGAGCAGCCCTGGGGGGTTACCGGGCATTAGGAGAGTGAAGATTAGTATTGATACAAATACACAGACAACTGCAGGATGAGGAATGTAAGGCGAACGTGAGCCAGGCATTTAGGCAGAGAAGGATTTGTTATAGGAAGAAAGAAAGTGACTGGCTTTAGAGAGAAACCAGTGCCCTCGCTTTCCAGCCAAGCCTTCTTATAACCTGTCGATGGGAAATGTGCCCCGAAGGGAGGGGGCCTTAGTTTATCTTTAGCCCGCAGCTGGAGTCTTGTGGTCACGTAATCGAAGGGGTCTCACGGTCAGGTGGTCACGTCGTCTGGAGAAACTGGCACCAGCAGGGAGAAACAGGATATCTCCTTAAGGAAAAAACAGGATGCCCACCAGGGCACTGTGGCCACTGTGACATCATCCCTTGTTTGTCAGGTCACCACAATGGGCCATTTTTAAACTACACGCGCTGAGGCCCTTGTGAACCCTAACAAGGAGTGCGACTGGAAATGCTGGTATGGAGCTTGCAAGCATTGGTCGGTGAGGGAGAAACCGTGAACTCGCTATTTCAGATTCAGACACTTCTTTCAGATTCAGGGCTGACAAAGAAAGCCTGGTTATGTGGGGCATCTCCACTGGGATTTCCTTTTCGAATAACAGCCGGTCAGCTTCCTTCTATGCAAATCATTTTGAGCATTTATCCTGCTTTTCATTAACACACTCTCCCAGGCCATCACCCCAGCCTGTCTCCTATGAAACATTTCACAGGCGAGAAAAGCTCAACAGCGGTGTGGGGTGGATGCTGCATTTGTGAAGGAGTTTGAGTTTTTATTGTCTTCTCTGGCTGCGATATGTTATTATATACTATATCCACACCCAAGAAGCCTTTTTTTTTTTTTTCAGCAAAGAACAAAACAGAGTCACAGACACAGAGAACGGACCTGTGGTTGCCAAGGTGGAGAAGGGTGGAGGAGGGATGGAGGGGTGGAGTGGGAGTTTGGGGTTAGTAGGTGCAAACCGTTGTATATAGAGCACATAAAAAAACCAGGTCCTGCCGTATAGCACAGGAAACTATACTCAATATCCTGTCTGTGTTCTTAGTCGCTCAGTCGTGTCCGACTCTTTGCGACCCCATGGACTGCATAGCCCACCAGGCTCCTCTGTCCATGAGATTCTCCAGGCAAGAATACTGGAGTGGGTAGCTATTGCCTTCTACCGGGGACCTCTGACCCAGGGATCGAACCTGGGTCTCCTGCATTGCAGGCGGATTCTTTATCGCCTGAGCCACCGGGATGTAATGATCCATAATGGAGAGGAATATGGGGGTTGGGGGGGGGAGGACAAAATAAAGCTGAGATTAGCTACGCCTGGGACAAAAAGCCCCAGAGTCTCAAGGGAGATCTGAATTCTCCCAGCAGCATGCTCTGCAGGATGCTCCACTTGTCACCCCTCTGATGGGCCAGACACTAAGTAGCACATAAAGATAACTTGTGCAGGAGATGTGCTCATTGCAAAAGACCTTGTTACTGAGAACCTGTCAAAAGGCAGGAACAATTTTAAAGCTTTTGGAGAAAATTGACCAGTTGTCCTTCAGAAATATTGTACCAAGTATATATTCTCATCAGCAGGGTGTAATAACGATTTCATGGACTCTTTACCAATATTGTTTATTTTAAGTTTCAAAAACTTAGCCAACTTGCAAAACAAGGATATTTGAGGGTAGCAGTTCATTAATGATGAAGTCAAGCATTTTTTCTAGATGTTTGCCTTTGGCTATTATGAATATATTTATTTGAGACTGTAAAACAACTTTTGGCTATTTATATTACTTTTGTATGTTGTTCTACTCTGTAAGTCCTTTACTAATTTTTCTCACAGAGACTTAATATTTTTCTTGTTGATTTTTATGAGCTTTTTATATGTGAAAGATACTAATTCCTTATCTCAGTTAATTCAAGTATTCTCCCAGTTTTCCATTTGCTTTTCAACTGTGCTTTTTGACAAGCATTCAGTTATTTGCCTTAAAATTTTCTTACTTCACTATGAATAATTTTTTAATTTATAAAAATTAAAGTAAAAATATTTTAATTGTCAAAAATAATTTGTCTCAAAATTTCTTGCTTTATGCTTATATAAGTTTTTCCCTTGCATTATTGAGATATTATTAATGTAAAAGATACACACATTTAAGGTGTACAGTGTGATAATTTGACACACATTTACTGTGAAATAATTGCCATAATAATGTTAGTTAAGACCTCCATTGGCTTACATAATTACCTTGCGTGTGGGGTGGGGGGTGGGGAACAACATTTAAGATCGACTCTTAATTTTCTGACATATCATATAGTACTGTTAATTATAGTGAAGTCACTCAGTCGTGTCCAACTCTTTGCGACCCCATGGACTGTAGCCCACCAGGCTCCTCCGTCCATGGGATTCTCCAGGCAAGAATACTGGAGTGGATTGCCATTTCCTTCTCCAGGGGATCTCCCTGACCCGTGGATTGAACCCAGGCCTCCCGCATTGCAAGCAGATGCTTTAACCTCTGAGCCACCAGGGAAGCCCCACTGTTAATGTTCAGTTCAGTTCAGTTCAGTTGCTCAGTCGTGTCCAACTCTTTGCAACCCCATGAATCACAGCACACCAGGCCTCCCAGTCCATCACCAACACCCGGAGTTTACTCAAACTCATATCTATTGAGTTGGTGATGCCATCCAGCCATCTCATCCTCTGTCGTCCTCTTCTCCTCCCGCCCCCAATCCCTCCCAGCATCAGGGTCTTCTCCAATGAGTCAACTCTTTGCATGAGGTGGCCAAAGTATTGGAGTTTCAGCTTCAGCATCAGTCCTACCAATGAACACCCAGGACTGATCTCCTTTAAGATGGACTGGTTGGATCTCCTTAGTTGTTGTTAAATAAGTTCTTATCTATTTAGAGGTCAGATGTGTACATTTCTCATGTCTTTTTGTTTATATTTTACTCCATATTCCCCCTCTCCAAATAAGTAATAAATTTTACAATACTGAAACATAAGTCCTGAGCTCAAATCCTGGCCTAGGCATGAATTCCTGTGTGACCCTAGGCAAGTTAATACATCTATTTTATATGTAGTAGTGTGTATCTATTGGAGAAGGCAATGGCGACCCACTCCAGTACTCTTTCCTGGACAGTCTCATGGACGGAGGAGCCTGGTGGGCTGTGGTCCATGGGATCACTGAGAGTCGGACATGACTGAGCGACTTCCCTTTCACTTTTCACTTTCATGCATTGGAGAAGGAAATGGCAACCCCTTCCACTATTCTTGCCTGGAGAATCCCAGGGATGGAGGAGCCTGGTAAGCTGCCGTCTCTGGGGTCGCACAGAGTCGGACACGACTGAAGCGACTTAGCAGCAGCAGCAGCAGTGGGTATCTGTTAACCCCAAATTCCTAATTTATCCCTCTCCCTTCCCCTTTCAGTAACCATAAATTTGTTTTCTGTGTCTGTGGGTCTATTTCTGTTTTGTAAATAAGTTCATTTGTATCAGTTTTTAAGATTTCACATGTCAGCAATATCATATATTTGTCTTTCTCTATCTGACTTCACTTAGTATGAAAATGGACCTTATGATGGATCTTAGTCTAGGTCCATCCATTTTGCTGCAAATGGCATTATTTCATTCTTTTTTATGACTGAGTGATATTGTATTATATATATGTACCACATCTTTATCCGTTCCCCTGTCCATGGGCATTTAGGCTGCTTCCATGTCTTGGCTATTTTAAATAGTGCTGCTATGAACATAGGGGTGCTTGTATCTTTTTAGAATTTTTCTAAAATTGAAGGATAGTGGATTTATAATGTTGTGTTAATTACTGCTATACAGGAAAGTGATTCAGTTATACATGCATATATATATGTGTGTGTGTGTGTGTGTATATGCACATGCATTCCTGCTTTTTAAAATATTCTTTTCTATTATGGTTTATCATAGGATATTGAATATAGTTCTCTGTGCTCTACAGTAGGACTTGTTATTTATCCATTCTTGATATAAAAGCTTAGATCTGCTCACCCTAGCCTTTCTCTCCATCCCTCTCCCAAACCCCTCCCCCTTGGCAACCAAAATCTGTTCTCTAAGTCAGTGATTCTGTTATAGCTTCACAGACAGGATCATTTGTGTCATATTTTAAGTCCATGTATAAGTGATATCATATGATATTTGTTCTTTCCCTTTATGACTTAGTTCATGTGGGATGATAATCTCTAGTTGCATCCACGTTGCTGCAGATGGCAGTCTGTTCTTTTTTATGGCTGAGTAATATTCCATTATATATATGGACCACATCTTCTTTATCCATTCATCTGTTGATAGATATTTAGGTTGTTTCCATGTCTTGGCTATTGTGAAGAGTGCTGCCGTGAACATAGGGGTGCATATATCTTTTAAAAATAATTTTTATTTATTTAGTTAGTTATTTTTTGGCTGTGTTGGGTCTTTGTTGCTGTGTGGGCTTTTCTCTACTTGCGGAGGCTACTCTCCAGTTGCGGTGCTTGGGCTTCTCATTGCCGTGGCTTCTCTTGCTGCAGAGCATGGGCTCGAGGGCTTGAGGGCTCAGCAGTTACAGTTCCTAGGCCCTAGAGCACAGGCTCAATAGTTGTGGCCCTTGGGCTTAGTCACTCTGCAGAATGTGGGATCCTCCCAGATCAGGGATCAAACCCATGTGTCCTGCATTGGCAGGTGGATTCTTCACCACGGAGCCTCCAGAGAATCCCCATATATGTTTCTGAATTAGAATTTTATCTGGGATATATGCCCAGGAGTGAGATTGCTGAGTCACAGGCAACTCTATTCTTAGTTTTTTAAGGAACCTCCATACTGTTTCCACAATGGCTGCACCAATTTACATCCCCACCAACAGTGTGAGAGGGGGGTCCCTTTTTGTCCACATCAAGGGCTGTAGTTTTAATAACTTTGCAAAGTTATGGAACCCCCAATCACAGTAAAAAACAAAACAAAACTGATTTTCATCAAATACCGATTTTGTTTTGATTGCAAGTATCTTCACAAATAAGACGACCTTAGAATGTTCTATAACGTGGTGTGACACCGTTATTCTGGTGCTTACCAGAAAGTGGAGTCGACTCTTCAAATTGTACTTTATTCACCAGAAATAAGGACTTCTTTTTGCATCCTGTGAGGAGCTGTGACATGATGACAAAACACCCTAGTGCTGGCCAAAACCACAAAGCTCCATATTTTTGGATCTGTGTGGCTATTTTAAAAGTAAACCCCAGCTGTAACAGCCTTCCCTCCTTGGGACCCAGCTCCTGGGTCCTCTGTGCCCTCTAGGTCCCTTTCACTGTCCAGTCCTCAGGTCCTTTGCTCAAGTTCCACTTTGGTGTCTTTTTTATACCTGGGACCCAGCATTGTGTGGGGGAACAGGTGCTTGCAGAGGTATGTTTCCTGACACCCCTTTAAACTTTCTGTGTCCCCAGCTCGCATTTCCCTTTGGCTGCGAATAAGACTCTTTGCTGAATGCTCCTGAAACCAGAAAGATAAGTATGGTTTATATAAAAAACAAGGCGGTGGGCAGCACAGGGATTGGTTGGCACCTCAGTCATGTCATGGAGGACTGGCCCCTTCTGCCATCCTTGGCGTGCAGTTTGCTTCATGGACACAAGTATCGGCTTCTTCTTGTAACATCCAAGAAAGAAGGAAGGAACTCAAAACTTTCTCTCATTTCATCTGTCTTTCTTATAGAAGCCCCCCACCCCCGTGTTTCTCCATGCTCCTCACTGCCCGTCCTGGGCCAGGTGCCCCACCTTACTTTAAATGATGTCAAGGAGAAGAGCAGACGAGCAAGCCTCTTAGACCAGTGGACAGAGCTCACCATTGACTAGACCACGTGGTTCTGTGCATAAGAAAAGGGGACTAGTTATCTGGGAGGAAGGTCATCGCCCGTCGGCTGTGAGTCACTTTTTTTCTTGCCTTTTCCTTGCAGGTAGACCAAACTTCCCGAGGGGGGCAAAGGTCCTGTCTTCTGTGTCTTTGTTGGCCCGTCTTTGAGTGGCTTGTCCGAAGGGAGGCTAAATAGATATTTTGAAAATCGTAAGTTCTGGGGCTTCCCTGCTGGCTCAGTGGTAAAGAATCCTCCTGCCAATGCAGGAGATTCAAGTTTGATTTCTGGTCCAGGAAGATCCCAAATGCCATGGAGCAACTAAGTCCATGCGCCACGACTACTGAGCCTATGCCCTAGAGCCCAGGAGCCACTAATACGGAAGCCACTACCACTATGCCCTAGAGCCTGTGCTCTGCAACCAGAAAAGCCACCGCAATGAGAAGCCCACACACTGCAACTAGAGAAAAGCCCGAGCAGCAACAAGGACCCAGCACAGCCAAAAATAAATAAGTAAATAGATAAATAAAATGATTAAAACTGTATATATTCTGATATCATACTCAGCAGTAAAAAGACAAAATTACTGTCAGATGGAATGACGAATGGGTGTCAGAGGATGTTATGTTGAGCGAAAGAAAAGTGAAAAGTGAAGTCGCTCAGTCGTGTCTGACTCTTTGCGACCACATGGACTGTAGCCTACCAGGCTCCTCCATCCATGGAATTTTCCAGGCAAGAGTACTGGAGTGGATTGCCATTTCCTTTTCCAGGGATCTTCCCAACCCAGGGATCAAACCTGGGTCTCCCTCATTGCAGGCAGACGCTTTACCGTCTGGGCCACCAGCCAGACACTAAGTGGTGCATCCTCCATGGCTCCCCTCACATGTAGATCTAGAACAAGCAAAAGTACTTTTAGGGGAAAACCTCAGACAATGGTGACCTTGGAGAAGCATGAGGATTACCCAGGAAGGGATACAAGGAAATTTTCTGGGAGAAGGCAGTGTTCTGTTTTGTGACACAGGTGTGCTTCCCAGGTGGCTTAGTGGTGAAAAATCTGCCTGCAGGAGATGCAAGAGATGTGGGTTGGATCCCTGGGTCGGGAAGATCCCCTGGAGAAGGAAATGGCAGCCCACTCCAGTGTTCTTGCCTGGAGAGTACCATGGACAGAGGAGCCTGGTGGGCTAAGTCCATACTGTCGCAGAGTCGCACGACTGAGGGCGCACACATACCTGAGTTACAAGCTGTGTTCATTTCAACGGACATACATTTCACAACAGCCTTGAGGTGGGCGTGGGGGGAAACGTGTGGATGAAACTAGAATGGCAGGATGTTGCAGGATGATGGGAACCTTCGTCATTTGTTTTTGTTTATGTGTTGAGCTTTTCAAAATTAAAAAAAAATAAGTATTTTCTCCTATTTCTTTCATTCCACCCGGGTCTTTAGTGTGAATTCCTCTCACTGAGGCCCTTCTCTGCAAACACCCTCTGCCAGAGGATGGGGTGCGGACTCTGCCTCTAACACACCCTGAACCTTTGCAGCTTGCAGCCTGTGGACACCTTGAAGCTGAGACGGTGGCTCCTCTGTGTGCGGCCCAGTGCACAGAGCCCTGCCAGAGGGGGCGCTCAAAAAGTAAATATTTGAATAAATGAATAAGTTAACAGGAGAGTTAAGCCAATCTGGCTGTCAGCCTCTTAAATGCCCTGGAGGGACTGAGATGAGAAAGCAGTGGAAACTGGCCCCAGAGAGCTGAGCGGCACATCAAAGGCATCGTTTCAACAATCCCAGACTCTAGTATCTTCCCAAACATAGAAAAGAAGTAAATTCCTTACCTTGAGATGGCTGGTTTTCTTTAGTTAGCAGGAATTTTTTGATGTTCCGACTACCTGCTTTCTGTTGCAAAAACTCTGATGTGTCCTGAGCAGTCTCTCCAAACTACCCAAGACGCTGTGTCCTGGGCTTCAGTCCTCAGTTTCATCCACTGAATAAAACACTATTCTCAACTTTTAGGTTGTGCATCTTTTTTTTCAGCTGACATTTCCCCTTTTTTTAAAAAACCTTTTTATTGAAGTGTAGTTGATTTACAATGTTGTGTGAATTTCTGCTGTCCAGCAGAATGACTCACTTATACATATATATATATTCCTTTAAAATTGTTTCATTTTATTTACTTATATTTTGGCTATCCTGGGTCTTCATCGCCGCGTGCGATGTTTCTCTAGTTGCGGCGAGCTGGGGCCACTCTCTGGTTGTGGTGCTCGGGCTGCTCATTGAGGTGGCTGCTCTTGTTTCAGAGCGGAGGCTCTAGGACGCTTGAGCTCAGTTGTCGGGGTGTGTGGGCCCTAGAGTGCAGGCTCAGTAGTTGTGGTGAATGGGCTTATTTGCTCTGCAACATATGGGATCTACCCCGGACCAAGGATCGAACCTGTGTCGCCTGCATTGGCAGGCAGATTCTTTACCACTGGACCACCGACACTTCAGTGGGAAGCCTTGGAAGTATGTCTAATCCTTCCTCACCCTTCACGGTCTCTGCTTTCTGCTGGGTGGGAAGGGTCTGCCGGGCCACCTGGGTGGTGGGGAAGAGGAGATCAGAGGAAGCCATCAACGGAAGCTTGGCTGTTCCATCCTAAGTTTATTTCCTAACTCATCCCAGCCCCGCAGCTGAGCTACTAGACAGCAGTGTTGGCTGGACGCTCGGTCCTCTCTTCACTGGAAGTATTTCCTGTCCTGAAATAACTGCTCTCCGGGCCTCCCACAGAGAAGTACAAGATCGCCAGCCTGAAAGCGGCCCGAACGTTGATTCAGTTCCAGCATCCAAGGGTTCTTCCACCTCTGCTGTTTTCTCTTTTTAAATCCTATAAAGCTAAGGCAGGAGCAAATCTTACTGTAATAGGAAAAAATGAAAACAACCCATCACAACCCAGCCCTTGGGCCTGTGGTTTCAGTAATTAGCTCAATGTGTTAATGAGAGTCTTCAGGGAGAACGGCATTAATTAATGGGTGAATCTCACTGTAATAAATGTATAGGCAATTTTCTAAATGCAGATGGCAGAGTCCGCCCTGATGGTCTACCTAGAGCCACTCAATACGGTAAGTGTCGGAGGAAAGTGGTCCATTTGTGAGATGCTTCATGATCCTGATTAGGAGCGGAATCGTGCTAGTGTTCGCTCTCCTCTGTATTATTCGTCTCTCTGGGCAGAGGACCCATCCTGCCCCCACCTCCGTCGCATCCTAAGGCTTTTTATTGCTCCCCTTGTCCTGAATGGGGAGACACCTCTCATTCCTGGGGGGCTGAGCTGGACATCCCTGCTTTGTGGGCTTTCTGTCTTGGTTTCTTACCCCCAAGCTGGCCAGGGGTCTTTATCTCTTCTGTCTGTGAATACCATAAATGGCTAGGATGTGGTCCAGATGGGGATCAAGACACCGTTTTAGTAAAGGTGCCTTCCAGGATATGTGACACTCCAAAGCCACCATTTCTTTAAGAAAGCATTTGCTAGTAGTTGGTTACAGACAGTTGAAAGAGACAGTAAGGGGACTTCCCTGGTGGTGAGTGCATAAGAATCCGCATGCCAGTGCCGGGGACACAGGTTTGATCCATGGCTTGGGAAAATTCCACATGCCATGGAGCAGCTTACCCCGTGTGTGCCACAGCCGTTGAACCTGTGCTCGAGAGTCTGGAGCCATAAGTACTGAGCCTGTGTGCCCTAACAGGAGAAGACACCGCATTGAGAAGCCTGCACACCGCAGCGAACAGTAGCCCCAGCTCGCCCCAACTAGAGAAAGCCAGCAAGCAGCAATGAAGACCCACTGCAGCCAGAAATAAATAAATGCATAAATTTATGAATTAAAAAAATGTAAAACACCAGTAAGGATAGGGCACTAAGAAATGAACTCCTCTCTCCCTTTCACTAACCCTCTGGGTCAGGTTTGCCTTTTGGCTTCACAGATGAACCTGGGCTTGGATTTAAGAGTGTGTTTCCAGGTGTTCCTTTCGACCTGGCTGTCTCCTCAGGCTTCTCTCGGGCACACCACTGGGACGTCACAGCCACATTCCAATTCAGCTGCTCTGGATGGATAAACTTGAAAAATGACAAGAAGTCAGAATTCATCGCTACCATTATCTAGACGATAAATCTGTTTAACAAATTGCTATGCACGAGATTCAAATTAATTGGAAAACCCAGTTAAAAAGAAATGGCTTGGCCTGTGGCTCGGTGCTTTAAGAATCAAAATGGGAAACTGCTTGATGGTCACTGTCGTTGCTTAGGACAAAGACCACCTGTTTGCCCCTGGACCATCTCCTCCTTCACTGGGGGCATTTCCCACATTCACTGCAGAATGAGTCACTATCCTGTGCTTGGTGAACACGGGAGGATGTTCAGGAGATGATGGAGTGATGGTGGTAGAGGATGGAGGATGTTCTGAGGTTCTTACACCTGCTTGTCTCCGTCTGATGCCCCCTGGAGGGAAGCTGAAGCAGCACATTCCAGGAATACCTGTTTGTACATGAGGTGGGACCCCCCGCCCCCACCCACAATGAGGCATAAACTAAATCAATCAGACCTTGTGTTCTGATAAAAGGATTCTGAATCCAGCACAAAAATCCAGGGCAGTCACAGAATCTGTATGGTCCTGGAATCAACAGATTTTTTAAAAAAACTTTTTATTTCGTATTGGGGTATAGCTGATGAACAATGTTGTGATAGTTTCAGATGAACAATGGAGGAACTCAGCCATGCATAGCCACATCTCCATTCTCCTGCAGACTCCCCTCCCATCCAGACTGCCACAGAACTCAGAGCAGAGTTGTGTGTGCTATGCAGAAGGTCCTGGTTGGTTATCAATGAATTTTTGTTTTAAGCACAGAAATGGAATTTGGAATTTTGGAGTGCTCACAGCCCAGATGAGAAGAGGTTGCCTGAAGGGATTGGGATACTTGTTTCAAGCCAACTGGACAGAGTGGAAGGAGGCCCAGACCCAGCTCCCAGCCTCCAGAGGAGCACACAGGTCTCCTTGACCCGGGAGGGAGCTGAGGCATGCACCCTTCTGGGGCCTGGCCACTGATGCACTGTCTCGCTGTGCTGGACCTGGCCCGAGCCTCATCTTTGGAGTCAACAGGTTGCTAAATTTAGACAAGAGCAGCAGATTTAGCAAAGTGAAGAAACCAGCATGGCCAAACCAGGCCCTCAGAGGCTTAACCAGATGTAGTTCGTGTGTCTGCCACAGCCGCCCACCCAGTGCCTGGGATCCTGGGGAGTCTGGGAGGCAGCGATCCACGTAGCAGTTACTGTGGGCTGAGAAGAAAGATGCAAGTCTGACTCCCTCCTATGCCGGTGGTTACTGGGAACCAAACACGTGAAAAACCGTGTTAAGAAAATCCTTGCTGAGAGTTTGAAGAGACACTGTGTGCAGGACCAGGAGACAATCATCCCTGCTCCCTCCCTGCTCCCCGGACCCTCCAACCAGAACCACGTGTGCCCCATCTCCTCGGCTATGAGAAAGCAAGGACCACAGACACTCAGCCTCCAAGCCTGGGCTGTGTCACACATGCTTGGTGATCTGTTCTGAAAAGTCCCATGACCCGAGTGAGCTTTGAGAGGGAGACCATTGCCAGTCCACTCCTGGACCACGTTCAAGTACCACGGAAACAGCGTGGACCTGTGCTGGGTGCCCAGTCGGAGAGCTGCATCTTTTACCATACTTCTTTCATTTATTCAACAAATCTGTGACCGTCCACCTTCTTATCCCCCCAGGCACCAGTGCTGGAGATAAGACGGTGGGGAATGTGAATGCTCTTCCTGACCTCACGGAGCACACGGTCCAGTGGCAGAGAGCAGGTAAAACGATTAAGTCACAAGGCCCCCTTTGCTTGTCCGATGAATACACCCAGTGATGTGTTACAGGGGCTTTTGGGTGCTAAGGGGACAGGTCCGTCCTGCTGAGGCCAAGACCAGGAATCTAGCCAGGCTGTGGGCCTTAGACGGCAGAGGGATCAAGGAGTCAGACGGCCTAGGTTACAGTCTCGTCCCTGTCTCTCAGCAGCTGTGTGACCCCTGGCAAGTGTACTGTGCGTGTCTGAGCCTGTTCCCTCCGTGTAGAAGTGAGCCCAGCGCCTGGCCTCCACTGGGGCCATGTCTGCGCCGGTATCCAATGCCATCTGGGTGTCTGGCACACAGGAAGTGTTAACTGTTGGCTTGCCAAGAGATCTTGGCCTGAAGTTTAGTTTACTGAGGGCAGTTCAGTTTATTTGCTTAACAGTAACAACAATCTCGGCAGCTAGGGGGCCTGGTAGGTGATCAGGGAATATGATTGCAGAGTTCAGGCTGGAAGGGCAGGCCAGTCAACGGCTGCAGCAGAGAGAGCGGTGGCCCTGGACCCCAGGGCTGCCTCCAGCCTCTGTTCGGCAATTCCTGAGACTGCAGACTGGGGGTACCTGGGGCAACAAGAGAGAGGAGTGCTGGGAGCTACTGTGATTATGAAATCAGAGCACTTTTCCTGACTTTTCCATCTTGTTCACCTTTAGGCGGAAAAACTGAACCGGGGCCGGGCTCACTCAGAGGAAGACAGGACAGGATGTTTTCCTCTCGTTTTCACTGGAAGTGTGAGGAGTGAGGATGCCCATCCTGAGCATGTCCTGAGGAGAGTTTAAGTTCCTAGTTTAGGTTCTAAAACTGCAATCTGAGCCCATTAGAGGGAGCCTGGGCTGCTGACTCGCATGAGAAAACAGTGCATTAGCCTATTTCCTTCCCGTAAGGACCTGTGAAAGCCAGTGTGATTTTTGCAGAATGAGGTTATTGCAGCCAGTAATCGGCTCGGGCAGCACCAGCAGGCCTGAAATCAAGCAGATGGGGTCAAGGCAGGGCTGTGTGCCGGAAAGGGGGAGCGGGGAATGAGGCTCTCTGCCTGATGTGGGATGTGAGTGAATTTATCTGCATAGTCACAGTCACCCGAGGGCGTCGGGGTCAGCCCCAT